TCTCGGACCCTAAAAGTCTTGGTGTTGTCTTGGTCTCGGGTTAGGTGGTCTTGAACACAACACTGCTCTGCACCATAGACGTATAAGAATAGACGCTTCATGGACCGATCTCACCTGGTGTTGCAGTTGTGATGTAGGGCGGCCATCTTGGAGAGGTCGACAGCTCTACTCAGAATTACATGTTTGGCAGGCACAATGAAGTATCAGCGCATTTAATTAAAAACTCACTAAATGAACAGATTTTCACGCCTTTTTACTGGAAACCTTTTTCAAACAATTATTGTGCAAGGACATTTATTTTTTAAGTGTTTTTGAATTGGATTGATGGTTCAGCATATTTAAATATTCTTAGTGGGGAAAACAGAATAAAATAGAAATAAAATATTCTGATTTGATATGAATGTTTTACAAAGCACACATGAACACTGCACTTATATTTATTTAGTAATAAAAATATATAAACACAAAATAATACAAATATAGTGAAACAAAGATGATTAAATATTGATTGATATGAAAAAATATTAGGCTACATGAACATGTACATACATAATGTATATCTATATAGGTTATTTTTCATGTTTTCCATTCCAGGAGTTCTAGTTCTAGTGATTCAGCTGCTGATATTCATCCTGTGCAGTGAATCCGTCTCTCCTTAAAGACATTCCCCACTTCTTCCTCATTTTGTCTCTAGGAAACCTTCAAAATTAAAACTGGAGCTATATTACTTTGGACATAGTGAAAGAATTACATTTAAATAACAATCTGCCACCTGTGTAAAATGGTGAATATTAATATATTATAATATATTTACAATATCTATGTTTGTTTAAATCCAAATCCAAATACAGCAGGCGAGAGACGTAGATCAGTTGTTTATATTTAATTTTTAAAAAAAACTTTCAAAACACAAAGTATAAAAACAAGAAAATCCCAAACAAGGCCAAACTGGAGACATGAGGAGAAGAGAGAAGAGCAACAAGATGAACTGATAAATAGTGACTAACTATGAGGAGCTTGTGAGTTTGACCAAAGACTCTGAATGATGAGCTGATTATCAGAGTCTGAATGAAGGAAACAGGAGCCAGACTGAGGAGAGGAAGAGAGAAAGTGGCTCAGGGAGGCCAAACACTAAGGAATGACTGGACATAATGACATTAGAGTAAAAAATCACTGAGAAAATAAACATAACTAGAAAACATTATGATGATACTAAAGGAAAACAGGAATGAACCTCAAGGCACACTGCCCTGCATGTTTTAGGTATTTCCGTACTTCAATACACATGATTTCAATTGATGGCTGATTATCAGGGTTTTGCTGAATTGCAATCATCTGAATGGCTGTGTTGAAGCAGGAGAACATCTAAACATGCAGGTCAGTGAGCCTTGAGGACCAGGGTTGGGAAACCCTGATTTACATCATAACAAAAGATAAATTCATGCAACATAGAATCAACAATCAAAACATTACATTAAGTAAAGAGCTGTGACTAAATTATTAATTACATTTTATAATAAACTCTAAACAGAAGGGATTTAAGTTGAGATTTAAAGGCTCTCAGTGTTTCAGCTGTTTTACAGTTTTCTGGAAGTTTGTTCCAAATCTGTGGTGCATAGAAACTGAATGCTGCTTCTCCTCGTTTGGTTCTGGTTCTGGGGATGCCACCACTTGCCCTCAGGAAGGAACTGCAGGGCAATAAAGTACTGAAGTTTTCATATTGTATAAACCCATCAGGTCATTTGAGCACCAGAAGGCAGGATGAGTGAAATGTTTTGCCCAAAGACACGACAAAGGTGGACAGAGAAGGAACTGAACAGGCAACACACCGATTCCAGGACGAACTCACAGCCACCACCATCATCCCATCGTGGATGTAAGTATAATCGATTTGCTTTAAGCTGCAGGTAGATTGTTTCCCTAAAACCTGTGAAAAGTCTGTTAACCAGGAAACTAGTCAATATAACTAAATGTCCATCTTTTGATGGTGCCTGGTTCTTCATCAGTTTTATAACCTAAAAATCATGTTTTATTCTCACCTGCTCTCTGATTTGTGTGCATAACTTTCAGGTGAGAAGGTTAGATGTAATATATCATTTTGTTCAGACAGCAGGAAACCTTAAAAAGGAGCTGCAGTTCAAACTTTTCACATTCAGTTTGTTCTCTGCTGTTTGAAGCTCTGATAGAAACAGGTGAAGTGAATCAGTTGAGCTGAACTTTATATATTCTCTCAGTGCTGAAAGTCTCTTCCTGCTAGAAATGAATGTCTCAATGTTCACATTTCAGGTTCTGGATGGTTTTCAACATTCATAGCCTGAAGTTCTGCTTCTGCTGCAGGAGGCTGCTTCTGTTCCTGTGATGAACGTCTCAGTTTTTTATAGAGCAGAAAACCTGAAACAGCAAATAGAGCCAGAACAGCTAAAACTGAGAGACCAACTATCAGTCCAGTGTTGGTCCCTCCATTCTCTGGTTGTCCTTCCTCGTTCCCTCCATCCTTTTTTTGTCCTTCATTGCTCCCTGCAGAACAGAACCAGGAGTTAGTCTGATCTGCTGAAGATCATCACCTGCTGATCTCAGACCAGCTGATTTCCACTGAAACAACACATTTAGAAAACCAAACATCTGATCTGACATGTTTCTCTCTCACATTAGTAACCATGAAGCAGCTGCAGGTTCTGATCCAGTCAGACTCACCTGGAGCAGAAACAAGCAGGGTGATGATGCAGATGGGTTCATTCTTCATGTGAGATCTCTTCCTGTGTTTATTTTTAATCCCATCAACTCGACATTCATATGTTCCAGTATCATTAATCGTCACATTCTTCAGAACCAAAGACATGTCTCCATTCTTAATCTCTCTGTCCTGTAGATCCACTCGGTTCTTATAAGCTGGATTCTGACCCTCATTATCAAACTGTTCATCTCGATACAGAGCAACATGATCATTTCCCTCCAGATCACATCTTCTCCACTCTACAATGATGACAGGTTTTTTCTCAGGAGC